TATTATTTCATATGTTTGATGTGTCATATTTACATTACAATTCCAGTTAAAACATTCACTTGCTTTTGTTCACACATTGATTCTTGGGAAGTCTGTTGCCTTGATTTCCAAATGTAGAGACATTGGCTTATCTTTGACTTTAGAATAAGGTGAATCCTCAAGAGTCCCAGGGGCACCTCAGGTCTCCACAGTGGGTGAGGCACTAGTCAAGTATCACTGGGGGCAGCTTCCCTGCCTACTGGGGTCCCTGCAGGCCCCTTTCCTGGAGTGTGGGGTCTGGGTCCCTCTTGAGCTAGTGGATGGCTAGAGCAGCGTACACACTGGGCTCTTCTGGGGGCTCCTTTGATGGGGAGGATGAGGATGCACTTTTTTGTTGTCTATGGGCCAAGAGGTTCAGCTGTGCATAGGTCACATCCTGGGGGGCATCAGATGCAGCAGCCTGGAGCAGGGGGAGAGAGATGGATGAAATGTGCTTGGGGTTTGAGAAACATAGGGGCCGGGGGAGTATTGGACCCACCTGATTGTCCATCTGTCTGTTCTCTTCTGCTTGTCTGTCCTTCATGTCCAAACATTCCCCTGATAGGAAAGGAAGAGAGGTGGTCATTCCCTGCTTGAGTCTTGATATTGAGCAGTTCACCTGGCCATACACACTCCCAGGGGGCCTTCATGCTGCCTGTTCTGCTGGAGAGGCAGTGAGACAGACCAGCAACTCCTTGATTCCACTGTTGAAATCCTCCTGTCACTTATCGTCATGTTGCCAGATCCAGCAATAAATTAAAAAGATCACATACCATGACCAAGGAGGATTTTCTCAGGAGATGCAAAGATGGTTCAATATTCGCGAAGCAATAAACGTGATACACCACATAAACAAAATGAAGAATAAAAATCACATGATCTTATCAATAGATACGAAAAAAGCACTTGTGAGAATGTTTCCTATTCATGAGGTTGAAAAGGATGAAAGATGACCTTACCTCTGTCCATGTGGGCTGCCAGTGAGTGTATTCTTCCTAGGTTTTCTGATTTGAGATTCTGGAGAAATCCTTTTCTCAGCTCACCTTCTCCATCTAATTGGTTTTCCTGTAGCAGGTGCTCTGAGTCCCTCCATTGTGTGACCCGGGTCACCTTGTGTGACCCAGGTCACACCCTTCCCTACTCACCTGAGGTCCTGCCTTTGCTCTGACGCTGATGTTGGAGGAGGAGGAAGAGAAGAAGAGAGAGCAGCAGGACCAAGGCCACTAAGACAGCTATCCAGTACCATTTGAGACCTAAGACATTAGTGACATCATGAATGAGCCAATGATGCTGTTTAATGAGCACCTGCTGTGTGCGAAGCACGTGCTAGGGTCTGTCATTCATCTCCTCTCACGTCACAGCAGTCATGCACCAGGCATTGCTGACCCTACCACCCACTATACTGAGGCTCAGTCATGCCCCAGGTCATCCAGCCTGGAGGGGGTGGGACGGGACTGGAACCCGGGACTGTGGGTTCCTTATGCTGTCCTCAAGAAAACCCCTCCCCACCTCCCAGGTGAACAGCAGATTTGTGCTCTGGGATCCTCCTCTGCAGGAGCCTGTCCACGTTTCATCTGCAGCTGAGGATCCTTCCTCATTACCCGCCCCCAGCATAGCAGGGACAGGAATGGGCAGGGTGTGGGGTGGACTCTGAGTCTCTCCTGGATCCATCTCCACCCACATGTCTCTGACACCCCCAAGGAAGGTCGGCTGGGCTGGGGCTCTGCCTTCCTGAGCTCTGTGAGGCCCTTATGTCACCTCATCTCCCAGCAGCCTGTGAGCAGGATGGGGCCAGGGATGAGCAGACAGGAACCCGACACTCAGAGGAGAGAAGGGACCGCCCAGCCCCACATCAGGAGCAGCAGAGCCAGAAGCTGAACCAGGGCTGATCCACCCTGTTCCCTCCTCTGAGCTGAGCCTGAGATGAGGGGTAGGACCTGGAGGCCTGGACCCTTGTCCTGCCTGTCCCTCCCTGTACAGTGTCACTATCACTGAGAAAGAGGGGACAGGCCCCATACCATCACATCCCGGGGGCTTCCTTGTGAGGCCCCTGTCCCAGGAGGTCAGGGCCAGAACTGACAGGAAATCTGAGCTCTGGACAAGGATTTTCTCCTTTTACACTGATGCCCAGATAAGGGTAGAGCCTGTCCAAGTGAGAGGCACCTGAACCTCTTATAGCTCAGTCCCCGTCCCCACATGGTGGAACCCACCACCTCCGCACAGAGACCTTCACACACCGTGGGAGGGAGAGACCTATCATCAGAGCCTCCTGGGTTCAGGATGGGGCAGACGGGTGGGGGCTGCCTTCTCCCACATGAGGCCAGCTCCCCCTCCCCAGCCTGTGCCCCCACATCTCCCTCTGCCATGACCACCCCACCCATCACCTGCCTCAGAGCCTGGGACTCCCAGACCCCTGGGACACAAGCCCGTCCTTGAGAATCTGGGGCACTCGATCCCCTGACAGACTCAGGACTTGCTCAAGGGGCTGTGCTCCCTCTGAGCAGAGATCCCTGGGACTCACCAGCTGTGGATGTGGGCCCTGGGGGTGAGGTCCTGGGGCCTCCAGAGGGTCCTGGAAATGAGGACAGGAAGAGGGTGAGAGGCTTGGGCTGAGCCCGGACCCAATTTCACACAGACACTCTCTTATATCTGTGCTTTGACCCCTGAGACCCTCCCACTGCTTCAGTATCCAGGTGAGAGAAAGGGAGTGGACAGGTTGAGAGGCCTCTAAGGAAACGATCTCCTAGGGGTGACCGTCCAAGAGTCCTTCACTCCCTTTCAGCTCATAATCCGTACAGGGAGAGTTCTCTGAGTTGCCAGATCAGCAGACAGGGTCAGGAGTCCTCACCTGAGACCAGGAGCTCCAGGGGCTCACTGGGGTGTGACAGCAGGAAGGGGGAGGAACTGTGTGAGCTGTAGCTCCT